GTACAGCACCGCAAGCTAGTTTTGAAGCATCTGTACTAAGAATAAAAGGTTCTCTAAAATCTGGGAATTGAAGTATTTTAGGGCTAAGAAGTTCATTTTTCAAAGTTTCGAAAGACTGTTGGCATTCTTGTGACCAGTCAAATTTAGCCTTTTTATGAAGTAAAGCGTTAAGTGGAGCTGCTTTGTCTGAAAAGTATGGAATAAATCTTCGATAGTAATTACAAAATGCGACAAATCTTCTGACGTCATCTGCATTTTGTGGTTGTGGATAATTGAGTATGGTTGAGTATTTAGTTTTATCGGGTTGAATGCCTTGAGCTGAAATGTGGTGACCTAAATATGTGACGTCTGCACAAAAGAATTTACATTTGGCTGGATTTAATTTGAGGTTGTGTTTTCTTAGATTTTGAAAAACTTTTTCTAGATTGTTTAAATGATGGTTGATAGAACATCCGACGATAATTATATCATCGATGTATAAGAATGCACATTCTGGCGGTAGTCCACTAAGGGCTATCGTCATCATGCGTTGAAAACTGTTGGGTGAAATATTTAGTCCAAAAGGTAGTCGGTTGAACTCGTAATGACCAGAGTTCGTAGAGAAAGCTGTGTATTGTTTTGAGTTTTCCTCTAACTCGATTTGATGAAATCCTGACATTAGATCGAGCGTTGAAAAATATTTAGCTCGACCTAGTTGGTCAAGGATATCGTCAATTCGCGGTAGTGGGAACTTGTCTGCTATTACTTTTTTATTTAGTTGTCTGAAATCTACTACAAGACACCATTTTTTGTCATTGTCAGTGGATTTCTTGGGGACTAGCAATACTGGGGAATTGTAAGGAGATGTTGAATGTTGGATTATTTTTTCGTCTAGCATTTTTGTCACATGCTTGTCTATTTCTGTCTTATGAACTTCTGGTATTCTGTAATTTTTGATATATACTGGATTTGGGTCATTTAAATGTATATTTTGTTTATAAAAATTGTTACAAGTCAGGATGTCAGTTTGAAGCGCAAATAGGTCGTTGTATTTTGTACATAAGTCTTTTAATTTGTCTTTTACGTAGTATGGTGTATTTGTCAAATCTAGTTCCGCTAAACATTTTTCTTGTCTGTTCTTTTGGTTTGTTTGGTTGAATTGAAATACATTGTAATTTTGTAGAGGTTGTATTAGGTCATGGAAATTTTTCCGAATTTTAACTGTATGGTTTGTTGTGTTAATTAATCTGATCAATGAATTGTTTGAATTTATTATTGAGTTTGCACAGAATACTCCAGGTTGGATTTCTTTAGATGTGATTACGTAGTCTTGATGAGGGTTTTGTATGGTAATTTGTCTATAAACTTCGCAACGTGGTGGTATCAGTGTATCACCGTTTAAATTATCTTGGATTGGAATTTCAATTAATTTGGAATTTATGAAGCTGGATAAAGTCCATGTGTCATAGTCAATTACACAACGAAATTTAGTCAGAAAATCTCTTCCTAAAATTCCGTCTGTGGGTATTGGTAAGTTTTCGGGTATAATGTGGAATTGATGTGAAACATTGCATTCATAGGGTAAATGTAAAGGAACGTTGATCGTTCCGAGTGTATCAATGGCTTGATGTTGTATTCCAGTAATCGAACAAATTTGTTGAGTGTCAATGTGTATCGCCTGCTTCAATTTTGTGAGTTTCAACACTGAAATTTCAGCTCCTGAATCTACGAGAAAAGTACATTCGGAGTGTGATGATTCAGTTTTCAAAATCACAAAATTGGAAAACGCAGTCGTGATATTAAAAATACCTTTTATTGTCTTGGATGTTGCATGTTTGCTAAAGCTATTTGGAATTGTTGTTGTTGTTGTTGAGGCTGCTGTCGAGGTGATTGCTGCTGAGTTGCAATCGGCATGATTTGTTGGCCCCCAACTTCTGGTTGGGGGACCTGCGGGTTTTCCGAGATGTAGTAATAAACACCTCGGCTTCCAGGTCCCGAATTGTTATAAAACCCTCTTCCTCTGTTATTGAATCGAGGGAAATTTCCGCGATTACTTTGAAAATTTTGTAAATTTCCTCTGTTTTGGTGGAAATTTCCTCGGTGATTTTGGAAATTTCCGCGATGATTTTGGGAATTACCACGGTAATTTTGGAAATTTCCGCGGTTGGATTGGTAATTTCCACGGTTGTTTTGGTAGTTATTATTATTATAGTTATTGGAGGAACCACGTCCTCTTTGGAAATTTCTGCTTTGAATCGAAAAAACATTAGCAGTGTTGGTTTGTTTCTCGGCTTCGTTTTCGGACGCCTTTTCTACTGCCTTGGACAAGGTAGCAAACTGTCCTGCTTTAAGCAATAACTTTGTTTCCTCGTTTTTTACACCACTTATTAGTGCTTTGATGCCGGTACTTGTGGCAAGTTTAGAGGCTGTCTCTAGTGGGACATTTTCCTCTATATACGCTCGTTCAAGATCAAGCGTGAGTTTCTCGATTTCTTCAGTAAATTTTCCGAAATTTTCTTTCTGTTTAATTGCGCCCAATTTCGCAATAATAGTATTTGGTGCTGTTGAATGTCTGCACTTAAGTTTTAGCTTATTAATTATTTCATCAATGCTTTCGGGATTTTCCGTTACTGCAGCGCGAGCTTTGCCTTCCAGTTTTGAAAGAATAGTCTGTATGGCTACTGCTTTATTGTTTTCGTTTACTAATGCTTTGCATGCATTAAGCGCTGACAATACATTAGCTAATTTATTTTGTGTACCATCAAATGTTGGAACTAAGGTTGAAATAACCTTTATTATTTCTAATATAGACGCCATTTTTACAGGTTTTGATACTTTTATACAAAATAAAACGCAGTGTACTGCGGCTTTGAATTTGAAGTTATCTTTGATATTTTTCAATTTGAATGTGATCAATTCCTTCAGATCATTATATAATTGTCGGCTTAATTTAATGTTAAATTCTAATTTAGTGCCATCTAAATAGCTTTCATTTTTGACTTGTAAATCTACGATTAATTTGTAAGTTTTTTCTACCAAATTTAATTTATTTGCTAGCGTAACCCTTTTGTATGTTCTATTTGGGTTTTTGTCAAAATAATTTTTTTACGTGTATCAATTCTTTGATTTTTTCGTCAATGATTTGGTCCATACCTTTATTAATTCATCATCGTGTTGTCCTGGTTGAGATCATCATCGTGCTGTCCTTGGTGAGATCATCTTTTTGTTGTCTTCGTTGAGATCGTATTCTTGTTGTTCTCGTTGAGATCATCTTCATGTTGTATTTCAGGATCATATTGAACACTATTTCTTCCGGTGAGTGTTGTTTTTAAACCTCACTTCGCGCACTGTTTTGCTTGATGCAAGTTTTTCTTCTTTACTACGTTTTACTCAGTCAAAAGTCACTAGACCGTTCTTATGAATACGGTAGTTTTTGTACTTTTCTCATGTACACTATTGTTGGATTAGTGCAACATTTGTCTGGGTTGCACAAGCCATTTTCATGTTTCCAACGTGCTATTTTTTCGACCATATAGTCTTTTTCCGCTTGGGCTATTATTTCTGCCCAGAACTCCTTTGCTTCTGTGGGGGTCAATTTTTCTGCACTCATTTTTACTTCACTTTTTCGACACTATATGTTCAGTTTATTGATTGTTTTAAAGTCTCATTAATAGACGTAGCCTAGTATTTGTCCTCCAATCTGTTGTTGAACAGCTTCACTGTGCGTGAGGATTCCTTTACTGGTCGACACTAATAGATGCCCATTCGTTTTTGGTAGCATTTTCCTTGCCCACACAAGAAGGTGCTTTTTCTTGGCATGGATAAAACGTGGTAAAACTTCAATTTTAGTGACCGTTGATGAAACTTTTACTAAGAATGAACTACTGAATTTTTTTACTATTACTAATGTTTTTGTTGATTCAAGTTTGTTTATTAGTTCTTTCTTGCACGCGTGATTAGTTTCTATTATTATTGGAACGTTGGTGATATTTGCCTGCTGCAGTCTTTTAAACGTTGTTATTATGGCCTCTTTTGCTGCCATGCTAATTCTGCACGAACGTTTTGTTTTTCAATTTAGTTGATCACTTTTCTTCTGTTTTAACAACTTCACTATGTTCATCTTCTTTACACAACTGCTGCATTCAGCCGGACGGCTGTTGATGCCACCCGTTCGGATTGATTGCGATAGTGATTATTCAGAATTTTCAGCACTCCATATGCTAGAACTACCAATGCAATGGTTGCTAACGCCACCGTTTGAAGTGTATCGTGCGTATTCTCATTGGACGTAATAATCTCGTCCGCACTGAACCATCCCATGGCTTACACTTTTGTATTCGCGACGCACTATTGAACTAAAATGTTACGGTTAGCTTTGCACAGTTTTTGGCACTTTCACGCTGCGCGTTGCTTTTTGAAACGAACTTTTTTCGCGACGCACTATCACTTTTACAACGGACTTTTGTTATTCGCGACGCAACTTTTGGTCAGTAATTTAACGAGCTGACCCACTGTCACGGTCTGCCATGTAGCAGGTTGAGCCTACATGGATCGATCGAACAGACTTCCTTTGGAGAAGGGCTTTCTTTGATATGCGGTATCCAAACTATGGTAGACTCTAAACAGAGTATCTACCAGTGAGGACCGCAGTGAAGAGAGTTTGACTGCTGATCGATAATTGTCATGTATATTATGAAATATTTGGTTTATATAGCATTTACATGTTCTTGCTTATCCTAGTTAGTCTACATGTAAGAACGAGACGACTGGAGTGCCGATACCCAAAATATGCATCTTTGCCAGGTCTGCATTTTTGGTGACTTGGTGGTCCTACCCGACTGCGCAACATGACACCTTGCGTTGGCACTTCGGTATAGGCCTCACGCGGGGAGAGGAAAGTGGAAATGAAATAACTCTAACGCTGTGGCGCAATCGCCGCATATGGTTGCAATTGCATTCTATGTAATTTGAATCTATGAACTTTGTTCGGATTGAAGTTAATGACTTTGTTTGTTTACGATATGGTTATTGTCGTGGTTATTTGTAGGGATGCACATGACAGATCTAAGTAGCCGGAGGAAAGCAACAGCAGCAGTAAATTTTGTGTACCCTTCCCAGTGCAAGCAGTAAACAGCCGGACCAAGTCGGTGAGGTTAGATTTACCCCCGCAAGCGCAGGTAAATTCTTTCGTTTACTTCTGGTGGTGGTGTTTGGAAAATGCCTGCAAAAAAGGCGAGCAAATCCGCAAGCTCAGCAACAAAGCTGAAACTTTTACATCGTCGTCGGACGAACATTTTGGGTTCGGCGATGATGATCAAGGAATTCAATCGAACATATGATCCCACTCACAATGACCAACTAGCCGTACAAATTGGGTACCTTGATGAATTGTGGCATGATTTCTGTCCGTGCAGGAGAATATTGACCCTAATAAAAAATAACCATAAACGAACGACAACCCAAATCATTGAACTATTCCACAAATGGTTTGGATGATACCCAGAACACGTCGTTAAGCAAATTAACCATACAATTTTTATTAGGGGAGGTTTTGGAAGACGAAGAGGAGCATTTTTCGGAGCAAAGGCGAGAGTTTCAGCTGTTGTACCTCGGGCTGAAGTCTTCGTTGCAGAGCAAGCTTCCCATTCAGCCTCCCATTCCTCCCCCTCCACCTCGCGCATCGACTTCCGTTTACGCTCAGCCTGCTCTACCTGTCGCTCATGTTCGACTTCCAGAAATTAAGATTCCGGTGTTTGGTGGGAAAATTGACGATTGGGTACCTTTTCGCGATCTGTACGTTTCATTGATCCACTCGAATCAGCAGCTAACGGCGGTACAAAAGATGCATTACTTGCGAGCATCTCTTTCGGACGAGGCAGCTCGTATCATTTCAGCACTCGAGCTTTCGGCTGACGATTACCAAGTTGCTTGGAATCTTTTGATGGATCGATACGAAAACCCTAATTTACTTATAAAGCGGCATATATCGGCGTTGCTGGCGGTCAATCCCTTGAAAAAGGAATCTTCTGTGGGACTGTTGGATCTGACTGACAGTTTCGATCGCCACGTTCAACTGTTGGACAAGCTCGAAACTACAGAGGAACACTGGAATTCCTTCCTCGTTGAAAAACTGAGCAGTTGTTTGGATCCTGGTTCACTCCGAGAATGGGAAACACTAGTTGACGATGGAGATCGACCCACATACAAAGAGCTTCTCGAGTTTGTCCACAAAAGATCACGAATAATCAAAACAATCACGCTCTCCCACCTTAACAGTACCCAATCCGAACCCAAATCATCTAGGCCACGCTTCACCACAGCCTACGTCGCTTCTGAAAATGTCAAGAAGTGCCCCAACTGTAAACAAGCGCATCTCCTGTTTCAGTGTACCGCCTTCCAGAATCTCGTACCGCAACAACGATTTGAATTTGTAAAGAAGCATGGGCTTTGTATAAACTGCTTGAAGGGTACACACATGGCAAAGGATTGCTCCAGTGGATCGTGCAAGTATTGCTCCAAGAAGCATCATTCGTTGCTGCATTTACCACCAATTTCGTCATCATCGGCTCCTGGTACACCTGCAGCGCAGACCAACCAATCTACACCAGCATTGATTGGTCAATCCTTTGAAGCAATCGGTTCGCATTCGTATCAAATGTCGCAACGCGATGCGAACGCCGTTGTATTTCCGCCGCCGGTACAAGCCGTTACCTCACCACTCGCGAACTTGTCGTCTCGATCGTTTCCGCAATCGTTTTCGGTTGGTATCGCCCCCTCCACATCGCCGGTTGATTCAATCGTTCTCGGTAATCATTCACCTTCCTCCACGTCCTGTCAAGGTGCTGAAGTGACTCAAGTTTTTCGTCAATGTACTGTTGTGCTCTCCACAGCAGTGATCAAGGTGAAGGACGCTGACAACAACGAACATTTCGCCAGAGCCTTGCTGGATAGTGGCTCACAGCCCAGCTTTATCACCGAATCACTATGCCAGAAACTCCGTTTGAAGCGTGTCAAGCTCACCTCGCCGGTCAGTGGAATTGGTCAATCCACTGTGAACGTCCACTTCGGAGTTACAATCTCGCTCGCTTCACGCTACGGAGATCATCGCTTCAGTCTGGACTGCCTAGTGCTGCCGAAGCTTACCATATCGCTACCCAGCCATCATATCGACGTTACACGATGGAGGATTCCTCGTAATCTTCCGCTGGCTGATCCCCAGTTTAACATCAGCCAGAAGATTGATATGATCATCGGCGCTGAATTGTTCTATTCGCTCCTGGAACATCAGCAAATCTCTGTCGCTACTGGGTATCCACTACTACAGAAGACAGTTCTGGGTTACATCGTCTGCGGAAAGGTAGTGGATCCAGCTCCCGATCCACAGGCAGTTCAGAGTAGTCATGTCTGCATGAACGACACACTCGACAAGCAGCTCGAACGGTTCTGGGAAGTTGAAAATTTTGACGTCGGGAAAGCCTACACTCCCGATGAGCAGCGTTGTGAAGACCACTTCCAACAATCCGTCAGTCGAGCTGAAGACGGCAGATACATCGTCCGTCTACCTCTACGGGAGGAAATGCTACCAATGCTTGGAGATTCCTACCCACTCGCACTACGTCGGCTCCAATCCATGGAGAAAAAGTTTGCTGTCGATGAAGGCCTTCGTGAAGCGTACCACGCGTTCATGGAAGAATATGAAAGACTGGGACATATGGAGGAGGTGAATCCGTCCGCGTCGCGTAGCCCTCAGTTTTTCCTACCCCACCATGCCATCCACCGTCCTGAGAGTACAACCACGAAGATACGAGTAGTGTTCGACGGATCCTGCCGAGGTTCTCGCGGCTTATCGATCAACGAGGTCCTATTGTCCGGTCCGACAATACAGCCAGCTCTGTACTCAACCGTTATCAACATCCGCATGCCTCGCTTCGCCGTCACTGCTGACGCCGAGAAGATGTTCCGGCAGATTTGGACACATCCAGATGACCGGAAATATCAGGAGATCCTGTTTAGGAAAGATCCATCAGAATCAGTGCGCGTGTATCAACTAAAAACCGTGACTTATGGTCTCGCTAGCTCACCTTTCCATGCTACTCGTGTGCTCTACCAGTTGGCCACTGACGAAGGAGAACGCTTTCCGTTGGCGGTCCCCGTGATCAAGAAAGGAACGTACGTCGACGACGTACTCACCGGCCACGACGACCTAGATACGCTCGCTGAAACTTGTCGTCAGTTGATGGAGATACTGCAGCAAGCCGGCCTCGTGCTCAGGAAGTGGGCGACCAACGATGCCGCCGTCCTCGCAAGCATTCCTCGTCAGCTGTGGGAAACCTCGCGGGAGCTTGAAATCGATCGCTCTCCTACTGTGAAGACCTTGGGACTTCTCTGGTTTCCACAATCGGACACATTCAAATTTAAGATACCAGCTCTGCCACCGCTGAACGCCGCAACAAAACGCCTCGTCGTGTCCGAAATGTCACAGCTATTCGATCCTCTAGGCCTCCTGGGACCAGTGGTGATTAAAGCCAAGATGTTTGTCCAAGTTCTGTGGGCAGAACACTTGGACTGGGATGAAGGGCTGTCCGAAGAATACGCCGCCTGGTGGGCAGTCTACCGCTCGGAGCTCAGCCAACTACAAGCTCTCTCCGTGCCACGCAGAGCCGTGCAGAGTCGCCAATACAGCTTACACTGCTTCTGCGATGCTTCGAAAACAGCATACGGCTGTTGCATCTACGTCGTCTCTCGTGACGATTCCGGACAGCTCCACAGCCATCTACTGACTGCCAAATCACGCTTTGCTCCACTGCGTGGACAGTCTATTCCTCGACTGGAACTCTGCGCTGCGCTGCTCGGTAGCCAGCTTGTCGACAATCTACGTCGAAACACCGAATTCGTGGAACCTCCAACATTCTGGGTGGACTCTACGATCGTTCTACATTGGATCAAGTCACAGTCGAATGTCTGGAAGGTTTTCGTCTCGAACCGCATCGCTGAAATACAGCGTCTCTCGAAGGATTGCACGTGGAGGCATGTGCCGTCGGAATTGAATTCAGCCGACCGGATTTCTCGAGGAATGATGGCAAGCCAGATCTCGAAGGACGATTTGTGGTGGCATGGACCGAGTTTTCTCAAAACCCCCGTTGACAATTGGCCCGAGTGTGCGTTTTCGACGCCGGACACTTCCGATTTGCAACAAGAAGCCGGCCCAAACATCGTTCTGCATAGCACAACCGTCGATTCATCACTGTTCGAACGATTCTCGGACCTAGCCAAGCTAGTACGCGTCGTAGCACGATGCTACCGATTTTTCAGCAACGCAAGGCTCCCCCGGAGCGAACGCACTATCGGTTCACTAACACCAGAGGAAGGTGAACATGCGCTCAAGATTCTAGTGCGAGAAGTTCAACTAGCGTCCTTCCCGGCTGAAGTTTGTTACTTTCGTCGCCTGCAAGATGCACCATCCGCTGCAGCAATATCCCCGTCGAAATCACCACTCAAGGACATGAAGCTGTTCATGGACCAGTTCGGCTTGCTCAGGCTCAACGGAAGACTAGCCAACATGAGAGCACCGTACGACACTCGTTTCCCGATATTACTTCCAGCTGACCATCAACTCAGTTGGCTCATCGCAAGGTCCAGCCACGTCCGAACACTTCACGGTGGTCCTACACTCACACTCGCTACTGTTCGCCAGCGATTTTGGCCAGTCCGGGGTCGGCAACTAGTACGCAAGGTGGTACGCCGATGCGTAACCTGTTTCCGATGTAAACCACGGGTAGCACAGCAGATCATGGCTCCGCTACCGTCCGTTCGCGTATCACCTGCCAGACCGTTCATACACTCTGGGATGGATTACTGTGGGCCGTTTCTCGTACGTCCGTTAAGTGGTCGGGGCGCGTCGGTTAAAATGTACGTCGGGCTATTCGTGTGCCTCGTGGTGAAGGCCGTGCATCTCGAAGTCGTCGCCGATCTGTCGTCCGTCGCCTGCATAAACGCCGTCAAGCGATTCGTAGCTCGTCGC